CCTTTGTCCTTGGATGTTCATTCAAAAACAAAAGTTCAAGCACTAGGTTTGGCTTCAAACCGTACCATTCTTGACAGTGATTAAAATATGCAGGTATGAAAGGGATCGCTTTTTTCCTTTTTTTATTACCTTTTTCTTGTTTTTTGAGGGGGGTCTATGGTGATCTTTAACTACTCATTAGCACCTGCTTGAATTACTAGGATTGCACTGCAATTATACTGAACTCTTTATCAAATTCAGGGTGATTAAACTCTCAGAAATGGCTCACTGATTATTTATTTGTTATGTACATGACTTGTTCTTTCTTTCTTTGTAGTCCTCCTGCGATAGAGAGGTTGTCAAGCGGTTTGTTTCAAGAGGTGATCATAACAAATACCATTCCGGTGTCAGAGCAGAACTATTTTCCCCAGCTAACCATTTTGTCAGTGGCAAATCTACTTGGCGAGACAATATGGCGTGTTCATGACGACTGTTCTGTGAGTAGTATATTTCAGTAAAATTAGATTGACTAGATTACTTATGAAATTAATTCATTCTACCTAAGCTAAATTAAATTCATTTTCAATACATGATGTGCTGATGGCTTGTAGTTGGCCTCTTTATTTATTTATTCTCTCTGTTTTTTTTTTTTTTTTTTGATACATTCAAGTATAATAACAAAATAATGCTTGGAAGTAAATAGTTTAATTCGTAGTGACGTCTTTCAGAAAACATGGGAGAACTAGGTGGAAGAGTGAAATACAAGAAAGTTATTACTCTGAAACCTTTCAAGTTCAGAATTAAAATTTTCTTGTGCCCATCACTCAGCTCCATCTTCGTTTAGGGAGTTGAGATGATCTTTACATAGTTTTGATATCTTCTTTGGACAAGTTAGAGCTGAGAGTTGTTTCGGCCTGAATTTTCTGATTATCAGGGTGGCTTTGAACCATATTCCACCTTGGGCATTGACTGATTTATTCATGATGGTGGTGTGCCCCTCCCTGCGTCCGTTCTGCAATTAGCTACTTTGTTGAGTACGATGTTGTCAGTAGCAAAACCAAAAGCTTTCTAGAAAGACCCTGCTCTTTGCTGGTTGTTTCAGAACTCTGTACAATTTTGGTAATGATGGAGACTCTTTTAAGTAGGAATATACTTTCACATAGGTTGTGATCACTGTTGCCCCGTTGGAGAAAACAGGTAATTCGTGTCCCAATAATGGTGTAATTGATAAATGATCGCATCTTAACTGTATGTTGTATGCTTCTAAGTGATAATATAGCAATGCTTCTTTCTTGATTTTGTCATGTCATTTTGTCACCAAACTATTGATGAACATGCTCAGATTCAGTTTTATTACCAATCTCTTCGTTTCTCGTCCAACGTTTTCTCATGGAGAACTTTTCGATTAAGGATGTGTTGGCTCTAAATGCAGAGCTAACTCATGGAAGTTCTTCTCCGTCTGTTCTATTCCAAGTCACACAGAGGATACAGGCTTCAGAAACTTAAAAGGTGAAGAACCGACTTGCAGCAACAGCAGTCACTAGTTTGACACGGCAACTATAAACTTGTAGATAACGTTATACTGCGGAACCTGGCTGATTAGCTAGACCGACTCCATTTGCATACCAACGCCACTTGTTGCAATTTAACTGGTGCTTTTACGCGATGATTGAGCTGATAAGAATTGAGCTGATGTCAGTGAATGATGCTGATATGCTGCAAATGTTAACGTCAATGCGCTGGAGGCATACAAAGAGCGAAGACAGTGATATCAGTTAGTAGAAGCGTTGATACTAACTTCTCTTTTACTTCCGTTCTCTCATTGTTGTGGAACTTGTCATGCATGCATCCGTTATCCTTTCAAGCGAATGCTATAGTGTTTGATATGATGTGGCTAGAAATATGTCATGTCGAAATTCCTCTGAAGGATAATAACTCTTCTATGGGCTAGATGCATTAAGTTAACTAAATCTGCCAGAGATGTTAGATCCTCCAAACATATATTAAAACGTGCCACAAAAAAAAGTACGAATTTTCTTCGAAGAATAAGTTTCTTGATCAAATATGGAAGGCGAGAGAGATTGAGGCATCACTTTTTCTTGATCAAGTGTGATTTTTCACACGCTTTTTAGGTTTTTTCCCCTTCGGTCTTCTAAGGACTCTTTTTTTTTTTAATTTTATTTTTCTTATTTCATTTCTATAAGTAATTGAAATTGCTCCAATTATAATCACGCCAATGGCACACATACGATGCATAAATGTTTGGAATTTACTGAAGCTATATATATTGCACAAAGGGAAAAGACGATTATCATCATCTGAGCCATAAGATTTTCAGGGGCATTTTTTTATGCGAAGTGCAAATATAGTTATAATCTCAATCTAGGAAATCAATTATGTCTTCACAGAATCTGGAAGGGCATACAGTGCTAAACTTGTTTACTCTTCTCGTTACTAGGGTTGTTAATGGGTTGGGTTATTAAGGTTGTTTATGGGTTGGGTTACTACGGTTGTTCATGGGTTGGGTTGGTACGGGGTAGAGTTTTTTCTTCTCCCGCCTTAAAAGGTGCGGGTTGCACATATTTAACTCCAATAATGTTAGAAAAATTTCACAACCTAATGATGTTTGGGTTGGGTTGGGGCGGTGCGGGGTGGGTGGTCGGTTTCAACATTCAAATAATCAAAGACTCAAAATTCAATCTAACATTCAAAGCTCATCATCAAATAGAAATAATAACTCAAACATTGAAATAGATAGCAATTCAAAGTTCAATCCAATATCAAACATGAAGTAAAGTAGTCCATTCAGTATCAAACATAAAGAAAACATAAATTAGTCTACACTCATAAATTAGTCTTAACAAAAAGCGAACATAGAGGCTTAATTCAAATCCATCCAAAGCAAGCACTACAACAACAATTATCCTTATCAGTCTACACTCATAGGCTCCTCAATAGTTGTAGTAGGACATGATATTAAGTTATCCATAAGAGAAATGAAAATAGATTAAGTAATAATTTGGATAGTTTAGAGTTCATATAATAAAATAGATTAAGATACATACAAATTATTGTCTTACTTAGGTTTTCATAAGTCTCTAAGTTATCCAAATAGTCTCTTGTATACAATCACGTGTAGACTTCAACTAATTTTGAGTACAAACAAGAGCCTCCACCATCTTGCCTAAGGTTAGATATTAGAGGATGCAAGTTTGAGCGCATGTTAGGTTGGGGTATGCGGGCCATTATAAACCCAACCCACACCCCGCCTCAAAACTTTGAGCCAAACATTGAATGGGCCGAAAAAAAAAATAATGCTAAAAATTGTATTTTTCAAATTGGATTGGGGTGAGGTGAGTTAAGCCTACGGATTTTGCAAGTTTATGAATTGCCCTACTCGTTACATTTCATATTTATAATCTGACTCCTGCTTTGCAGCCAAAATTTGTGTGTATGATGCGAGTAGCTCATACTTTTAGGATTTGAACCCAATATTTACCAATTGAGATTTTTTTTTTTTTTTTTTTTTAAAGAAGCACTTGTACCAGCACTTCAATTTGTGACACAGATGGAAATAGGTGAAACGACAAGTCTTGATTTATGTGACTATTTACGTAAATAACTGAGTGTTAACGTCGGTTTAGCGATTGTTAATGGTTTTTAAAAGTGTGTGCCTATATATATATGCGTGTCTATATATATGTGTGTGTGTCTATGTATATATGTGTGTGTCTATATATATACACACACACACCACCACACCTCCCGATATTTATCATAATTAGCAAAGTTTTTGATATTACCATTAGCTAGAGTTCAAGGATTATACCAAATTCAAAACTTCAATATGCAAAGATCATTCTACGATACAATCTTCCAAGTAAAATAATACTGATAACCGGGCAATGGCACAGCAAATCGTGAAACAGAGAAAAGGAGGGGAAAAATAACTTTTCTATTGTGTAGAAGGCAGCATAGCAAACCCAGATTTTTTTCCCCCTTCTTTCTTGCTATGAGAGAGAGAGAGAGAGAGAGAGAGATTATTAAACTATAATTACCTGGGATCGTGCAAAGGCAAGTAGATCAGTCGGCTGAACAAGGGAATTAGTCTTCTATGTTTTTGATATATTTTTCGCTTAACATGTTTTTGATATATTTATTTCCTTTTGTTGGAGGGGAACTAAATTTTTATTGATTCATTTAACAAAAGTACAATAGATTGATTATTTCTTTTCCTTGATGGGAACTAAAATTTACTAATTCACAAAAGATTTTTATTTTTTTTATTTTTACGAAAGGACCCATGAATAACGGAATTCAATTAATCCAAACTAACCAACAAAACAAAAATATAATTTAAAAAATGTAACTATCAAAAACATATATGAAAATAAAGATTAATAAGTGTAAAGTTTAGTAGGTTGGGAGAATAAAGATTAAAATTCTTAACGGAACGAGTTTTTCGTTAATATTTTGTAAATTGAGAGTAACAAATAATACATTTTGAAAATTGTTATAAAAGTTACAATCGAGGAAAATTTTTATAAACTTTCTTTTCAAAGAATATACAGTGAAAATCGCATCTCACTAAAGTACAATGTACTTTTATAATTAAAATAGAATTCATAGAGATGAAAAATTTTAAGTGAAAACTGCACCCTAAACTTTTTATTTTTTTACATAATATATCTTAAACTTTTAATTTCAAGAAATTACACCATAAACTAAAATCTATAGTAATTAAATTCTAATAGTTGATGGGTGTTATCAAATTGACAATTTAGAACACATGATTCTCACATGATTTAGTTTGAAAAATAACAAGTTTTTTCTTTAATTATGAATCTAGTGTCTCAAACGGTCAATTTGATAATACTAGTTAGTTATTAAAACTCAATTGTTATTGATTTTAAAGTTCATGACAATTTATCAAGGTCAAATGTTTAGAATATAAGATGCCTGTTTAGTTCATTGATTTGAGTTGAGATGTGACTTTATGTAAGAGCTTTTTACTGTAGTAAAAAAAGTTAGATATGGTTGTTTCTGAGAGCTTTTTTTTTAAAATAAAGCTTAAATTTTAAATTCAAATCAGTGAAATGAACGAAGTTTAAGAAACGAAAAATTTAGAGTGCAATTTACTCATTATTTTTTTTATTTACACATTTTTTTTTTTTGTAAAATACGTGTTACTCATTAATTAATTATCCCAACAAAAAAATCGTATGATTTTCACTCCAAATGCTCCTGAATACGGAGCGGGGAGACAAATCACAAAAATTCTGTCCGTGTCTGAAAATAAATAAAATAATATCCTCACCCTTCCACAGAACTCTCCTTCTGCTCTTCCTAATCCTTTTTCGTGGGCTCTTCCCTACTCACGTTTCTTTCCTTTTTCCTCTGATGCCAAACAGCAAATCGGAAGAATAATGACTACAGCTTCAGTGGCATATTCATGCCTATCTCCAGCTTCTTTTAACTCCAAATTATCTCACAAGGTACAATATTTCTGTGTCTTTCTGTCTCTCTAATTTACAAATATTTTTCATTGGAGAAGGATAACCTTGTAGTTTTTTTTTTTTTTTTGTGTGGGTACACTCTTACATGTCACTGCTTTGTACCTTCCAAAATTGTTGGAGAACCGAACATGGAGATATAAATTGTTTAGTTTGGTTAAAGACCCACTGAGTATATGAAGATTCATATTCAAAACATAGTAATATATAAATATTTGACAATGACTGGGTACTTTCTTCTTGCATATTACACTCAAGATCTGGGGTATGCCCATCACCAACCGTTTGGAAAAAGGAGTAAAGACCGAATACCCAATTTCCACGACACAGAATTTGACTCATTTAGCACACTTGACACCCTTGTGTGCAACTTTGAGGAGCCCAAAAGGGTTTGGTCCTCCAAAGAAAACCAAGAAGACCAAGAAAGGCAACAAAGACAATGAGGATGGTGGAGAAGAGGAGAATGAGGAAGGAGGAGGGGAAGAAGAAGATCGAGAGGCGGGTGTAATACCGGAGATAGTGACTAACAGGATGATCAGCAGGATGGGATTCACTGTTGGGGTCCCACTCTTCATTGGGCTGCTGTTCTTCCCATTCTTCTACTATCTGAAAGTTGGTCTGAAAATTGATGTTCCCACTTGGGTGCCTTTCATTGTGTCGTTTTTCTTCTTCGGAACAGCTCTGCTTGGGGTGAGCTATGGGATTGTGTCCTCCAGTTGGGATCCCATGAGGGGAGGCTCTTTTTGGGGTTGGAATGAGGCTCAGAAGAATTGGCCTGTCTTTCGGCAGTCTCTTTGGGGTGGGTCTAAGAGGAAGTAGCAATTGTTCAAGACTTGCTTGGTGAACTTGTAAATTAATTAGCACGAGTTTTTCTGAAAGTTTGAAATGGTCTGGAATTGTAATAGGTCTTTGTGATATATCAGCCTTGATTAGTGTAAAATAATGTTATTTTTATATTTTTTTGGTGGACTTTCAATTGAAATGAGGAGGAACCCACTATAAACTTGGTATATATCATGTCTATTTTGGTTTTCACTGAGGACACAAATGTGCATAACAAATACAAGGTATTAAGAGAGTAGAAAGCAATGCACCTTAAAGCAACAATACCATCAGATGTTTTGAATAAATATTATACATAAATCATCCACACTGTACTAGTAGTTGATTTCAACAAAGTGAATTTACTTGGGGACTGGTTAGCCAACATTCCCCCCAGTCACGTTTTGGCGGCTTCATAATTCTGGTAACCTACTGTTCGGTTTCGGTCTTCAATTGCCATAAACTGGCAGTTTGGGATCAATGAACGGGAGTACCCTCTCCCATCTCTCATTGATTGGCTTCACTGCCGATAAAAGATTGTTACATCCAACCGTTTTAATTCCTAAGCTGGGGTATTCAGCGAACTACATGAGAGAATATAAAAGGATTTTTCTTATTAGATCTCTGAAACTTTTACAACGTTTGTTCATCTGTACACAACCTTACAAATTGCTCCAGAAATAATCATTAAAGTTTCTATGTACACCTCTTAGCTTTAAAATGTTCTCCAAAATTTACAATCATCTGAACTGTGTGCACCTCTTGAGCTCTCTCGTGCAGTTGATATCCTTCTTGGGCGCATTCAAGATGCCTGATTGCTCTTCAACTTTCTCAAGGAGAAGCTTAAGCAGTGGAACCTTTGATAGAGTCTTGCACGATCCAACCATTATCAACTTTTTCTACACATTCAATCGAGAAGCTTGTGATGATATTGCCAATATGAAATAAAGGCACTCAGTAGCTCCACACTAGGACTCCAACCATGTGTGTATATATATATATATATATATGTATTTATGTATGTATGTATGTATGTATGCATGTATTATGTATGTATATATGTTTTTTTTTTTTGGTGTGTGTGTAGCCCACAGTAGAACTGATCTGATTCGATACCAACCTTAGCTCTTGTAAGTGCCACGTTAATCCTATGCCAGTCTCCAAGAAGTGAGGAAGTGCAGTTTCTTGGATTTTCACTAGACCTTACAAAAGACACCAGTATGCAGTCCTTATCCCTTCCCTGTATGCGGGAACAAAATAGGATACACAAGTTTGAACAGATGATCTCCAGACTTCATAAGAAATATAATATTTTAAATAAATAAATAAAACGTCATCATGGAAAGAAATAATGATGTGGCGACCAAAAGAGTGCAAAGCTCAAACCAACCTGGTATTTGTCAATGGTGTGTATCTCTACAGAGGTTAGCTTCATGGCATTACGAATAATATTTGCCTGGGAATTATACGGAGTAATGATGCCTATATCTTCGCCTTCAATACCATTCTTGACTAACTCCTCCGTCACCTATAAGCAAAATGAGGAACGTATATCATCCAGTAAAGCTCCAAGTTTATTAAGTAGTTTGCGTCAGAAAATAGAAATAGAAAATGATAACCTTCTACGAACTTTTGTATGCATGTTTAAGTAAATAATCAAACCTCTACAACAATTTGAGCTTCCATCGGATTATTTATGGTCTTCTGATCCTTTGCCTCATAAGCAGGCAACGTATCTAAAATGAGAAAAGATTACGTGATAAGAAAAACTAGGCATTATACATCATCTTTTGATAGCGGAAATAAAAATATGTGACACTTTTAGATACCTGTATTAATAAATATAACTGGTCTGTCTGGATCCAAAATCTGCAACCACGAACAGAGCAATGACAAGTGAATTCTATTTACTCAGTTTGGAAGAGCAGGAAAGATTTACTTGAGACATTTTTTTTTCCCTTTTCTTTAGGCACTACTAAAGTTTGTGTCCGAACAGCTTCGAACTACTTTTCCGATGCTATAAATGACAAGCCGTATATTTGATGTATCAGGTATAAAGAATATATTTTAACTCCTGGAACAAAGACAGCAGAAAATCCTCTTACCTCATTAATCCATGATGAACCAGACCTTAAACTTGAGAACTTAAGTTTGGCATCAGCTATATTGGAGGAACCACAACGCAGTTTGTCACCATATATCAATGCATTTGATAGATCCATAATGCCTCGAGACATACGATACTGCATTCAAATATTTTAGTAATTAGCTAGCACGAAACGAACATATGGAGAGAGAACTCGGTTTTCCATTTACGCTAACCTGGCTCCGCAATGCTGAAATTGCCTGAGGATGTGATTCTGAAAGCCTGCGAAACAAGCTCACCCCCAGTCCATTTTCTCGAGCTTCTACACTCTAGAAACAAATAATCAACACCGTTAATGGACTAAAGGTTATACCATGAAAACTTGACGCAATAAGAACCAAAATGAGAAAAAAAACAAAAAACAAAAAGAAAAACAAAAAATGGAGGAAAAAGATAATAGACCTGGACAAGAGGAGGTAACTGATAATGATCGCCAACCAAGACAAACTTTGAAGCAAACATTAAAGGTCCCAAAGATACCTGAGAAGTGTAAATTGCTCATCAATATACACTTACGCGTCTTGTGGGTGTATTTTTTTTTTTTTTTTTTTTTTCCTTTTTTCAGTCAGTGACTGCACCCTTCAATCAGACAACATATTATACCATAAAGGACGCCATAAATTCCCCAATAAAAGCTAAAAACACATTGATCTTCATTCTAAATTCAGTCAGACTGGGAATTGCGTTCCATATAAGTCCAAATATATTGCAGTCTCGTTATATAATAAATGAACAATAACTGCTCTTTTTTGAAATAATGAAAAGCAGCATTTGCAAATTCATACTGGAAGGGTAGTCTGTCCGGCTTCATCCATTATGCATACATCAAATCTCTTGTTGGCAAGCAAGGGACCAGTTATACCCAAACACGTAACTGCGACAACTTTGACTTGATCTAATTTTGTCTTTATGTCTTCAACACCTTGTAAGTTCATATCTGCCATGCAGACAATGATCACAACAACGCAAAGAAATAAATTAATCAATTGAATAAACATATATTCGTGAAAAATCTAACCTGAAATACAATGTTTGCGAATTTCTTCATGCACCACTCCATGTCTTCCAATACGCAAAAAATCAATGCCCTGGTATAGTATAGATTTTAATAAAAAGGAAATGGCCGGTTGAAATGACATAATAGAAAAAAAAAAAAAAAAAAAAAAAAGGGGGGGGGGGGGGGGGGGGGGGGGTTTTTTTTTAATTGTGGAACTTGAAACGGGGGCGCGATAATGAGATCACATAGGCACATATATCCGCTCCATTGTTGGAGCATTTATTGAACAAGTAATAACTGGGACCTAGGAATAATATTAAGCTCTAAATAGAACCTTGGAAAGTTCAATCAACATGGCGATCTTTCAGCTAACACTCCCTAGGAAGTAGGAACTTGCAAAATTAAATATGGATAATCAACAAAGAGGAGAATTCAGGGGTTTTTGCTAGATTGAGGCTCAGGCTGTTGGACCAATGATGATGTATGCATGCAACGCGTTGTAATGGTACGCTTGCCTGTTAGGTGATGGCATTAAACAAATTTACTATGAACAAAGCGATATTTTTGTCAAAGATTCATAAAACCAAACTTTTTATCCTAGTACGTTTGCTTGTGATTTCAACCAAATATTGACGCGCTAGGTTAAGGGGCAAAAAGAAAGTTAACTTAATATGCATGTCATGCTTCTTTTCTTTTCTTTTCTCTTTCTTTTGGTAATCTGTAATCAATTATACTTGCCATGTTACAATGTTTATAGGAAGTGTGAAAGAAATAGCTGACCTGAGTCTTTAATTTGATAAGTAGATTATCAACTGCGGAGTTTGTATAGGATGTAAGCAAAATGGATGCACCTCTAATTAATAATGCATTAACAGCATGGACCATCGTAGACGTTTTGCCTGTTCCAGGCATCCCTAGTATGAGAGCATAATCCCTTGCTTGAAGTATCTGAAATTGAAAGCTCATGGAATAAGTCAGTTCAACTTTATAGGAAACATGCTGTGCCAAAGAAAGTACGAGCTGACATAATTGTAAAGCCAAACAAGAAGGCTGCCAAAACGAATTTGAGATATCAGCAGAAAGAGGAGATGTGAAAAGGTTGCAAAATTGTTGAGAAAACCTTAAGAATGGCACGACGCTGGTCATCATTTAAGTTTTTCTGTGACCACACGTAAGATATTGCTGGATCCTGGCTTAGTATGCAACCACTGTCAAATCTAGGAGCCTACAAGGCATTTACACATGCATAGACCAAAAGAATTAGAATTATCAAAAAGATGGCAATAATTAACACCTAGACAAAATGGCTGCTAAAATTTACCTCAAGGTCCACAACCATCCTCCTTAGATGTGTACTTTTTGCAGTTTGTAGAAAAAGCTGAACAAGATTAAACCTTGAGAGAGAAACCAAGCACGAAATTAAAAAGGGTGCTTTGCACTAGTCTCTCCACACAGTTAATGTAGAAAAGAACTTAAAAAAAAAAAAAGGAAAGGTAAGAAAACAAAAGATAGTCATAATAATGTAATTGCCTCATGATTGCAAATGAAGTCATAAATTCATCCTTGTCAATTCGCCAGACCTCCCTAAGGAGATCAGCTGCCTCTGAAAAAGCATTCTCAGGAAGCCTTAAGCGCTTGGAAAAAGAGACCTGGGAGTTTTACAAATATTGATTAGGCTCTCTTTGCTAATCAAAGCTTTGATAATAAAAATACATTAATTAGCTATCCTTACAGAAACATGGAAATCGTTAGAATCTGTTATGATCCCACTTGCAATGGGCAGATGGCCAGACCCAGCGCTAAGTATCTAACAACCAAAATAACACAATTAGTAATACACTGGTGAAAACGAAAAGATGATACAATGTGCGCCAGCCAGTTGACAATTGAGTAGCATACGTACACAATTATATGCAGGTAATTGTAGTACTAAAAAAAAAAGATTAAAAAAAAAAAAAAAACAGAGCGAAGAGATGTATAAATGAAACAGGTGAGCCATAAACAAGAATGTCCAGAAGAGAAAGAATGACCAGTAATAGCTAAGGTAGATCCACTAAATGAACTTCTAGTGCTTGAAAATATTTAAGTAATACTAGAGGCGCTAATAATATGATTGGATTAGAAACAAACGAGCACATATAGGTTTTACAAAAGTATAGTACGGAGAGAATCTTGAAAGTAGAGAAACTTAAGTTTACGTTCAGAAGAAGCTTAGTGAAAAAATGTCTGTTATACATATAAGCAAAAGATGATCCTACAAAAGGAACCTGGAAAACAGAATTGCACACCATCTTTAGAACATTGTATAAGATTAATTCATGTGCGAACTTGACGAAATTCACATTGTGAAACGTAACCGTACCACATAGTCGCCACCTTTTAAGGTGCAATATAAATCTCTTTTTGTGGAAGAGGTGGCTTTCAGTGAATTCCCATCAGATAACTTCTTATCAGCAGAAGGAAGATTGTAACGCACAAAGCGGTAGACAAATCTGTTGTCTTTCTCAGGTTCTCGATGCGGAAGTTCATCGTCAAGAACAATAGAGAAAAGACGAGTCTGGTCACTCCTCGAACTATGGGACCGCCAGATTTCACTCTTTGAAAGCTGAAACAGATTAAATGAATCAGAAAAGGTTATCAACTGATTGTCAGAATTTATTGAAAAATAAATGACAAAGCTACTGGTGCGTATGCACAGTCACTTCAAATGTTACACCTGTGTCTCTTTAGCTTCCAAGTCAATCAGCCAATCCCAGTGCCTATGGAAAACACCATGAGCATTCGTTAGGTGATGAGTATTTGAATCAAATAAGTCTCCCAATCCACTGCTTTCAGCACTTCCACCGTGTACCTACAGCATTAAGCATGACACCGAAGAAAATACACATATCAAAATCTTCTTCTTTTTAACAAAATGATAGTATGATACTCAAAACTCTATAAGGGCTTCCGACAGAATTATTGATTCAGCCTACCAGAAAATTCCTTCAACCTTAGGAGAAAAAGAATTACCTTGTGATAGATGGTACAAACGTTAAGATGGCGACAACCTCTGCACATGCCTGGACTCTAAAACGGAAATTAAAAAAAATAAATAAATGAATGAAATATCTGGTGGAAATTCCAGAGCCGCTCTCTGCTAATAACACACGTACCTGTAACATTGGTGGAAGTACTTGTGTTGTCAATGCCTTGAGAATATCAGTAGCAAGTTCATTTCGACGCATGATTAGTCCAGTTAGGTCAGATCTTCGAACCGCAATTCCCTTTAAACATAATAAACAGACTTTAGATAGACCTCAAAACTTTGATAGAATTAGAAACACAATCTGTTATACACTACCTGCGTTTGTTCTGATTGGAGATAGTATAGAAGACCAGAATCAATATGCTTTTGGTACCTAAAGACAGGCATACACAAACCAAATGAATGATGTTTTCTTAAATTTATCCAAATTAGACATTTGATAACCATGTGGAAACAAACGGATGATGTAGCCTATTCAGACCTCTCAGACATCAAAAGTGTATATAAGATTACTTGGGCACTGTGTTCCAAAGATGACTGCAAAGTGCAAACAAATAACCACAATGAGCTAAAATAAAACTTATAAAATATAAACATCAAGAACATATGCCAACGGTGCTTCAAATATCAACTAAGATTTGTATGCCACATCGATTTGAACTCAAGTTTTAGGAAAGACAATCTACTTGCCTGGCCATTAGGTAGCTTCCCACTTTTAAACTCTAAAGGCATGACCTTCTCACTAGTGTCATATTTGTTCGATCGTACTTCAACTCTAACAGAAGCATCAATCATGCCTTTCAAACCGTATTTTGGAGCCCAAGCCATTTCCTCAATATCTAATACCTAAAAGTGAAATCTTATAAAATGTAATCACAATCCTGTAAGATCAACAACAAAACAACGGCATATATAATGTCTAACGTGCAATGCTACTTTCTAAGTTCAATCTTCGCAAATGCAGAAATGCCTCTGCGGAAAGAAAATAATACAAAAGAAAAGACAAAAAAAAACCTATAAATCAATGATGACTTACCTCCGGTATGTTGACTTTTCTCGGTCCAACATCAGATCCAAAATCAACAGCAGGGGTTTCAGAGCCCTGTCAAGTCATGAAAAAAAAAAAAAATATATATATATATATATATTTAAAGCTTCTTGCTTTAAGGTGTTTGATGCATACCATTTGCCATTATAGACATAACTACTGAGAACATTTAACAATAAACACGAACATGAAAGTATGCGGTCCAACCATGTGTCTAAATTAGACATGTCTCCAAACAGCTATAGTTTGCTTGAATACTTATATTATATAGAGAGTCAACAAGACAAAGAAGCTAAAAGCACAGATAACAAAAAGAAGCTATCGTATACAAGACAATAAAGCATATAAGATAGATTAGGTAGAGTGGGGCTTGCTTATGCCATCTCACCCCAGCTAGAAAGGATTGAATTTCGGAACTACGAGACACGTAAAAAAACGAAAAAAAAAGAGGAATTGGAAGTAACTTCAGAAAATTACTTGCGAGCATTTATCGAGGAAAAATTCCATGCTTTGCATTTTCTGTAGCGAGGTACAAATGCAGGCTCATTCACAGATAAAGTTGTCCAAAACACTAGTTGTCCAAAACACTATTAGGATTCTTGCAGGTCAGATATACATGGAACTGAGAAGTAACTAAGATGGAAGACACACATTGAAAATAAATTACTAAGATGCAATCTAGAACAAAAGATAACAACAACTAAAAACAAACTAAGAAATACATAAACTGAGCTTGGCGCACCTGTGAATATTTGAATATGTTCATCCAATTTAATAATTTAGGGATGGCTTCAATCAAGGTTCTCCACATATCACTTTCATTTACTGCAACACCCACATAAAAAGAGATGAGCAGGAGATAATTTACAGAGTTGATCTATCATATTTCAAATAAAGGATAGAGATTGAAACCAAATATAGTCTAGCAAACCAATATGAAACTGAACTTGCTTCATGTAAATATTGCCATCGACCTTGAAGAAAAAAAAAGAAAAGAAAAAAACTTATATTGAACATAAGATATTTCTAAATAGTTCCAAATCTAACCTCCACATGCATATAAATTCTCAATATTTTTCTGAAGCACCATTTGTGCATATTCCTTTAAGAAGGTTATAGTAGGCCCCTCCGTTGTAAGTCCAGCCTACAAAATCAAAGAAATCTAAACGTTTAGAGATGTATGCCGCATGTAATCATGAATATTTGCATATTATGTATGCATTGAAAACTTCTCAAGGTCTCGGATGATTTTTAAACCTGAAAAATTTGATGCAACAATGTACCAACTAAAGCTGCGGAAGAATTCTCACTGCTTCTTAGCCTCTCATCCAGGACAGTTCGCCTTGGGCAACTGAAACTAGCAGCAACCTAAAAGTATTTCCATTATTTAAAAGAACTAAGGCTGAACATGTAAAATCTTGTGACAATGTGACTACAACATTTTTTTAATAAGAAAAACCCTTTCATTGGTAGAAAATCAATTACAAGGAAAACGGAGTGACTACAACATTAGATCTGAACAGTTACTATCAAAGAAACGATATACAATGAAAAATATGAAATTAAACAAATCTAATATTGGAAAAGCAGGTGATCTTACCCGAGTTCCTGACATAAGTAAATCTGGGTGAACAATCACAAAATTTTGTTCACGGTTTACATGACAAATTCCCTGGTCATCGAATTCACCAATCACATTGATGGTATCTCCCGGAGAAATGACACTATGAAACCTGCAAAAGATAGTCCATGACAGAGTAAAGAACAATAAGATCATAGACTCAATATTGAAATTCATCGATTTGTATAAAAAAAAAACAAGATTTTAGACATTTTACACAGAGGGTCAGAGACAATCAGATAAATCGTATAACTTCCAAGAAAAAGAAAAACAATAACTTGAAACCTTCCTACATTACAACAAATTAATGTTGTGTTATAACCATATCAGACTGACATACATACTATATAGCAATGTAAAAATACTGTGAGCCAGTCAGTAGCAAACGGCTCTAAATGAGTTTAAAGATTTGTTATTATAGACTGGAGGAGGAAAAACAAACAAACAAAAAATCAAAACAAAACAAAACAAAAAGTAAAAAGCCTTTCCACTAATGAGCTCAATTTTTTTTGTCCTCGAGCATTTTCTTTCTGGAATAATCTTAAAAAAATAATAATAATAAGTATAAGCGAGCTTCCACCATAAGTGAGTACTACAAATGACAGGATACCTAAAGGCTAATACAAATATACTCTAGCAGTATTGCCTAAATGTAATGTTTTAAATGTCTCAAATTAAGAAATGCGGACATTCATTAGTAAAATATTCCGTTAAAGAAACTAAAAAGAAAAATAGTTCAAAAAGTATTATGTGATTCGTAGCAAGAAACCATGAATTAATACCAGTCTTCCGACAAATATACAGCTCGTTCTGCTCCATTTTGCTCATCCACCAAACGAAGAACCTAAGAACCAATAATTGCAGTTAATTTCATGATTCGTCTCTAATATAATTCACATTGGAATTAAAATTAACAAATTATGCTTACTAGAAACCTTATAATGGCATTGAGCACCAGATGATTCAGCAGGTCCATGCTTCTCGGTTACCTAATGAAAAGATAAGTTGCAGTTAAGTCAATCTCAGAGAAGTTCATATCCTTTGTCAACAGAGCCGTGGAAGAAGTAAAGAATACCTCCAACACAAGAAAACTGCAATTGGAAACCAATCCTGTGACCTCTGGGTGATTGGTTCCCACTCCTTTTGCGGAAAGACCCGCTTTGGCAGTCAACTCATCGTTATTGGTATCTTGAATATGGCTTGGAGGTTCCTCCACTTTGTCAGACACTAAACCTTGAGCAGACATGACATCTTCAGATTCCTCCACTTTGTCAGATCCTGAATCGTCAACAGAAATGACATCTTCTACCTGATCTAAGAGCTCAAGCAATGCCTGAGAGAAAATAAAATACATAGATACAGTTTCCACTTCAGATTACATCACTAGAACAGACAAGGCGTCACGGCGTAATCTCTCTTCATTTCCACAAAACATTAGCACGAGGAAAATGTATCTATGATAAATTTCCTCATGCACAAGAAGGTGATGTAAACTTGAAAGCAATAATCGAAAACTTGAGCATTTGTCTAAAAAATGGATGTTACCTTTTTATGCTGCCTCTGACCAAGCTTACAAGATAATCTATTATTTGTAACATCATCGGTAAGCTGCAGATTCGTTACAGTGTAAGTTAGAGAGAGATTATAATGCTTGAAATCCACTGCCAGGAAAACAAAGGCACTAAGTAATTAAACACAGCCTTATTTCGGCTATTGCTTTTCTTAGGCCCTAAATAATTGCCAGAGTCGGAGAAGACTCTTTTCACTTTGATCTAAGATCCTAAAGCCAAAACAGAGCCATGATTCTTATTGGGCACACTCAAAACTATGAAGGGATAATTAGTATTACCTTATCATGGCAGTACGATAGCGAAGGCGGGGTCCGAAATGGACTCTGTCTAGTAGCAACCGTACAGTTAGTTACATTAGTTGCAGTTCCATTAAAATCCTTATCTTGATTTGGATTAACCCTTTTTAAGCCAACCCTATTTGTGGACACCAATGATCTTTCTGAGGCCTTAACTGTTGGAGAAGAAAGCCACTTCTCAACTTTTCCAATCCCAACAGAAGACACCTGAAACTTTCATCACTGATATTAGTTCTCCACACAACAAAGACACCAAACAAGTAGATTCTATAATTAAACTAAGAAGCAAGCATGCCTTATTGTTTTCTGAGCATTGCCGAATGCTCAGTGAGTTTCGACGAGAAGATTCTGCCAACACCTTCACCGTCTCGGGCATTCGCTTCGAAACTGCTTGCAGCCTTTCGTTAACCGGAGATATTTTCCATGTGATCTCATCACCCCCATCATCCTGACTCTGCTTTATCAACTATCGCCAATAAAAAACGAAGCAATAAGCAAAACATCTTTCTAGATACATTAACAAAAACCAGAATTATTGTATCAAAATCGATAATTTACCATTCCAGGCGAGAACTTGAGTCGTTTCAGAGACAAAGACTTGAAGATCTCCGGCGACGCCTCGGCATCAGCACCAATTCTCGCCTTGCTCTCGGGAGGCGTACTCTGGGGTGCATTATCGCGGCCATTTCCCTTCAAATTCGAGCGATTCTTAGTATTTTCAGAAGCCGGATCATCTTCATCGTCGTCGACGACATTTATAGGTTCGGGGATCGGCTGAGGGGCGGAAACGGCGCCGTTTGGAGGGGAAACGGTCGGGTTTGCGGCGTTCTTGAGGTTCTGAGAAGCGTTCTGAGAATGGCGCTCGAAGAAATGTTGGATGCCGAACTTCGAAGGCTGGGCCTGGTGATTTGCGATCGATGACTTCCTTGATGAAGACGAAGAAGAAGAAGAATTTGGTTTCTTCTTCCTTGGAGGCATCGGAGGGGTTTTACAAGTTTGGAGAAAGATTAGGGCTTTTTCGCTTCCTTTTTCAGGTTCCGATTTTCTGCAGCTTCACACACAGCAAGAGAAAGTCGAAGAAAGGTTGTTTTTTTTTTTTTTTTTTTTTGTTGATTTGGGATTTTCCCGCTCAAAGTGACGGTCAAAAAGGAGGGAACAGAATAGAGAATGGGCTTTTGTGTATGGATAATACAGCCCAACTGAAGTTCAGCCCCAAAATGATTGTGGGCTTTCGTGAAACTGGTATCCAAACATGTTACCTAGGCGAAGAAGAACCTCCATTTACGTCTTCATCTTCCCCGTACCCAAAAGAAGAAAAAAAAAAAAAAAAAAGGTATGAGGGAAGGTTCAGCTTTGATCTGAGACATGGTTGGGGAAGAAAAGGGCATAGACCTTGTGTGATGTAAGTGCTCGACTAGAGGCGGTAGTATAAACTAGGGAGAAAGAGGAAAATACCTCAAGATTTGAGATAAATTAAAATTAATAGACTAATAGTTTACATAAGTTAATAAATAAGCTAAATTACTATTTTTATCCATAACTTGTCTGGTTATGAACCATAACTTGACAAGTTATTGTCCATAATTCACGATTTTTGTCCATAACTTGTCTGGCTATGAACCATAACTTGACAAGTTTATCCATAACTTATCTGGTTATGAATCATAACTTAACAAGTTATGGCCTATTAATTTTTATAACTAAAAATTAACTTATATACTTTCTTAAACTTTTTATTTTGACATATTTTCTACTATTTCCGTATAAACTATTTAATTATAAAAAAACTAAATATTTAAATTTATCTTAAGGTTAGATTTTATAATTGATGAAAGGGCTTTGTATCTACAAATCATACAAGGTGGTAAAAGCAAGTAACCTCCTGTCAAAAATGGTACCCAACCTAATATACGGTTGATTGGACTAATTACATTAAACATCGTCAAAATTAGAAATTTATGTGAATGGAATTGAAATTTAGCAATTGTTTTAAAATATTATAGGAATAGCAAAAATTAGATATTAATTGTTGTAATGATATTCACATTTGTATTACAAAATCAAATAGTAATTATTTAATCATAATAATTTTGCTAATTGTAAAATATTTTAATTTTTTTAATATATGTCAATGTGATTAGTAAAGTTTCGTCATATGTCTAAAAAGCATTCAGGACCTAGGACTTTGTTCAGGGGTTTGCGCGTTTTGGTTTCTTTGTTTTGAGAGTGTAAGGTAGGGAAATGAAATCTCAAAATAAATTATTGAGACTAGTATTCTGAATAGCAGTGCAACAAAAAACCGCCCCGCCCCGCCCCACACCCCGCTATTTGTATGTCACACATCAAATTGACAAACCGCAATTTTAAATGGCCCGCCTTATCAAATTGCGGTTTTAAAACCTCTTGTTTCGGTTTGGATTTTTCTAAATTCTGATTTTTTAAAACCACCGGTCTCGCCAAACCGTAATTTCTAATTGTCCCGTAAATTCATGTTACATACTATGAAGCATGAATTATGGAACAAGAATCATGATGATGATTAGCTTAAAAGAGATAGTAAATTAATAATGATTTTTATCTTGAAAACATGGAATAAAATTAATTTTACATTTTTTTTATAGTTTTTCTAACAAAAGCCTAATTAGGTCCAGACCATCCCGTTTTGTCTAAAAACCGTCAAACCACCAGCTTGTGAAGATCTATTTGATTACAATGTTTAAGTTTATGTTCCATTAAAAAGAAAAGGAAGTGAAATTGTGTTTAGTTTGCTATCCTAAGCATAAAATAAAGTCAAAAGATACTCTTAAAATTCTCTAGATATGTAAAGATTTTCAATTCAAATTCATGCATAAACTCTTAGAACAACTGACTGTATTTATTTATATAAAAAAAAGGGGAAATTACAACAATATGGTTTATGCCAATAATTTTGATTATGTTTGGATCACACAATTTGTTGGTAAAGCGCATTAATCACATAAGGGTCTCCCAACAAGTAAATATTTTCAGTACTACTAGAAAATTGGCACTATAATGACCGAAGTACTAAAGTTTGAAACTTAAATTCCTCTTTTTCTAAAACTTATCTCCTGTTATTTGAATTCTTGATTAGTAAACGCGCTCATAATAAATCTTGAAAAGTTTTATACTGTATTGAGTTGTAGAACGCAAAGTGAGACAATCCTGAATAATCGGGAGTCTACAACCCCAATTCTTCAGAGTCAAATATGTAGGAATCTTGAGATGCCTAATAATGTCTAATATCTCACATCATTTCAATTGAACGTTTAGTTGTACGACGAACACCTTTCACACTCCAAAATAGGAAAATCTTTTTGCAGTACATGCTTGTTGATTATTTTTTAAATTTTAAGTTTTGGTCTTTCTACGGTTAAGAAAGTCTCATGAGGCTGCGGCCTGGGCTTTGATGTCTGGTTCTGTTTGTGTTGTTGTTGTTGTTGTTTTTTTTTTTTTTTTTTTTTTTTTTTTTTTTTTTTATGGGAGAAAGAGAAAAATAGACTAAAACTTTAAATGAATTAAAATTAATAGGCCAATAGTTTACATAAGTTTATAAATAGGCTAAATTATTATTTTCGTCCATAACTTGTCTAGTTATTAACCATAACTTGACAAGTTATTGTTCATAATTGTCCATAACTTGTCTGGCTATGAACCATAACTTGACAAGTTTGTTCATAACTTATCTGGTTATGAATCATAACTTGACAAGTTATGGCATATTAATTTCTATAACTAAAAATTGGCCTATATACTTTCTTAAGCTTTTCATATTTGCCTATTTTCTACTATTTCCCTTTTTTTTCTCCAATGATATTCTCATATTCAATAAAATCCCAAGTTTTATTTGAACCCCAAGAAAAAGGCCAAAGAAAATTCAAAATAGAAAAGGCAGATAGACATCTATAGTATTTTCATTGCAATGGTATGAGTTAGCAGTTTTATTACACGCCCAAATGGATGACTTATGATCCAAGCAAGAAAAGAAATGGGGAATAACATATGAAATAATTAATATAGTTTTTATGTTGCCATGACTTTAAGCATAATTCAATTTATTCTTGTATTTCAACCTGTTCAGAAAAAAAAATAATAATAATAAATAGTGCAAGGGTCATAATCAAGCCTTGTGTTCAATATGGTGCTGATGAGAACCAGAAGAAGCAATATTCCCTTCCACAGACTTGGCATGTAAACCTTCACCAACCTTTTCATTCTTCTGTTTTTCTTCATCAATATGGATATCATCCTCAACTGATAAGACCACAGTCTCTATTCCATGAGGGCCCTCCACAATGGCCTCTTTTATCTTCTTATGCTCGTTGAAATGAATGATGTCCGTTTCTTGTACGGTTCTCTTCTTCCTCTTCTTAAGGAAGCAAAAGAGAGCGGCTGCAAGGAATGCGAGGAAGAAAACGCCGCCTACTGATATGAACACAATGACAATAACAGTTGGATGATTGTCTGGTGATGGAGGACGGGGAGGGAGAGGCGGCGGCTGCACTGGAGGACGAGGCGGGAGTGGCGGCGGCTGTACAGGAGGACGAGGCGGAGGGCGGACAGGAGGGCGGGGTGGCGGCGGTGGTGGAGGGGTTGGATGACTAGGTGGCTTTGCTGCTGGAGGTGGTGGTGGCTGATAAGGGTGATAAGGGGGTGAAGGAAAGTATGGGAAGTTGAAGTTATTTTGAGATGCCATTTTGGTGTGTTGTATAAATTTGAAAGATGAACTAGATCTTTTGTGGGAAAAATAAGAGCTTTGTGTGCCTATTTGTAGGGAAGGTTTTGGCCAATCTCAGAGCTAAGCATTTAAGCCAGATTTTTAGTAACTTGACTCTCATGCTAAGATTTCTGATAGGTTGTTTGTATTGGAAAACACTTCTCAGGAGCTACCTTGTGACCATTTATATTTTTTCACGTCAACTGTTCTTCCTTTGGCTAGCACAAGACGTCTACTTATTTATTTATTGTCACATAAGTACTACTACGTCTAAGGCATGGATTCAAGCCAATTATTGGGTTCAAGAAGCCATATATGTTTCTTTTACATAAAAATCTTGCAAGAGAACAAATGATCTAGTGATAAACAATAACAGAATTCAAAAATTTCTGATCAATCAGATAAGGTATACATTAAGTTGATATAGTAATAAACTAATATGAAGCAAAGAACAGATGGTCCATCTGTAACAATAGAACAATTCAAAATAGGAACTAAAAAAAAAAGGAATTATATTAATATACTATCTTGCGCTGAATACAGGCTCTGCATCCGCTGTTGGTTGTGTTCTTCTAGTGTATTTGAGAAGCAAACCTTCTGAAGAAAGACCCGGCACAGACAAGTCCCTAGAGTAAAGTATCAAGCAATGGATTAACATCTTACTGCTTAGTAACACAAAGAATAAAGTAAGAGAGATGGAAACACAGTCTATAGATCAACCTGATGTAGGGCTGTAAGTCCTTCCACTCCCATTTTTGGCGCTCTTTGAAGAGGAGAGAGAAGCGCTCAGCAGGGGATGATGGCAGAGACGATACACTTAAGGCACGCACCCATGTCTCGATACCAAACCTTTCGGTCAAAACCTCACCTTCCAACATGGTGAAACTTGCTTGCATACATTCTGGCACCTTTCTATTCCACTCCTCCATGAACTTCTCTATCTTCTTCTTCCCTCCTCGTAAGATTTCTCTCGCAAAATGCACGCACACCTTCCTCTCATCCAGCTTCCACACACAATTTGTCTCCACACCTTCACTTACCTTATGACCATAGACACACAAACAATGTTCCGCAAGTTTGTGAGGAAACCCATCTGACTGCAGCACATCCACAACTCTATCTTGGTCAAGCGCATCCAAAGACCAGTCATTCAGCACTGAATTGTGCAAGAGCATCCTCAGCATCATATCCATGTACTTTACATCCACAACCCTCCAATACCCATCAATTTCCAAAGCTGAAAGTGCTTGTAGTCCGGACAACAGTTCATCATCACTAGCTTGAACTAAGTCAACAAGATCATCCCATTTATATAATCCTGTCTCTACTTCTCCCAAGCCCTCCATCTCTATGTCCACTTCAGGCCTGTACAGGTTCTTGAAGAGGAGGAGCTTCAGCTTGTCGAGTTTGGGAGCAACCTCAACGAGCTCCATGGTACCCGTAGCAACTTTAAGGATGGATGCAACAGGTAGTTGGCTTTGATCATTCTCATCAAGTAAATTATCAGAAAATTCTGATTGATCTGAAGGCGGAATAAGGAATACAGAGTTTGAAGTACCAACAAATTTGATTGCATAAGTTTTTGACTGAGTGCAAAGGACTGCATCTTCATCAGGCTGTCCTCTCACAACTACCCTATAGAAAGAAGGAAGCCTTATATTAAAACTGCACGAACAACTAAATTTGGAAAATCAACAGCAAGTATAAACAAAAATAATACCCTGTTGATGGTGCGTGTTTCTTAATTGTCAAAGTTTCATACTATGTGATCAGGTGTTCGAAAACACGCACCGCCGACCAATATTCCTTCCCTACCACAAAAGCACCCTATAAGAAACTAGAGGATAATTTTCAAAACTATTGGTTACCTTTGGTGGAGAATGTCTGGGAGAAGTTTTTCATCAAGCTCAAGAAGCATTATATCATTATGATGACCAAAGAGAGGATGATACGAAATAGCAATCGAAGCGCTTGGTTGGAGATTTAGAACTGCTTCTGCAGCTCTGCGTTCTAGATTCGCTTGTTCCATCTAACACACACACACGAATAAGATTCTTAATAGAAATCAAGAACTCCAAAAGTATGACAACCCAAATACTTAATACTCTGAAAGTCGAAATCAAGAATATTAACAATTCCTCATGGATATAGCGCCAAATTGTTGCATTGTGATCTTGGCATGACAAAAATGTCTTACATCTATTCGTCAAAGTTACACATAAAGGAACTCAAAGACCATAAATCATTCAACTACCGATTCAAGGTAGTACACCGGAACTAATCAATTGCATTGTGTAAAAATTTGCTACAAAACAAGGCAATAAAAGAACAATCTTGGGATAAATCATGTTTAAATCCAATATTTCTTTTAATATTAATTATGAAAATATAACTGGACAGATTTCATTTTTTTCTTTCATTGGTGTAAATCCACAAAAAAAAAAAAAAAGAATTGCACAGTGAGATTCACTTGTCTGTGACATTTATCATACACATGACAGTCATGAATAACATTTGTTCGAGAGAACGTGACCCACAACAAAAGACCCATGAAAAATCATACAAAAACACGCTAATTACTAGGTTTTCAGGCAGTTGCTCGAAAAGCAAGCAGGAAATTCATACAAAAAAAAAGGAGATTCGCCAAATGAAATCTACCCAAATCAGAAATCACAGCAAACATTTGAATCACAGAAGAAAAAAAAACAAAAAAGCTAATTAAGAATAGAGATGAAATGGGAGAAGAAATGGTTTACTTACATGAGAATCTAGGTGGAGCCTAAGATTGAAGCAATCGCCGGAGAAAAACGTCGGCGTTTCGGCTGCTCTGACTGGCGAAAGGGCGTTTCGTCGTTTCTGACTTTGGTGTTCACCAATTTGGCGCGCTTGTCTTTACTTTCTGATTTCTTTTCCCGCCTTCTCTTTAAATCCCTTATAAATATTTTATTATTATTATTATTATTATTATTATTATTATTTTTAGGGATAAAATCAATTTAGTACCAATACATTATAACAAAACATATTCTGGATATTCTCTGTTTTTCAATAATATTAAACTGTTACTTTGACATTTAAGAAAACTTTTTTTAGTACTTACATAAAATGACATTTCTACCCTTTTACTTAGTTTTCCTTGGTTAATTTCCTAAAAACGTAGGGGTTGTTCTTTTACAATAAAACTCATAAAAAACTTAAACTCAAGTTACAACTTTATTTAAGTTCACGTTCTTTTAAGTTTCAATTTTATTCAACTTTACTCAACTTTATTCAAGTTACAACTTTAACTCAAGTTATAACTCAAATTCAACTCAAAAATTATACTCAAGTCACACTCCAAAAGAACAGGCCCGTAATAATTTCTAAAAAGAAAAAACGAACTTCATCTTCTTCCTTTCATAAACAACATAGAAAAGCAATAACTATAACTGTAAATCAAAAACTCATATTTAAAACGAAAATCTCAAAATAAGTCTTATACTCATAAGTCAGAACTAATTATTTTCAAATCTTAGGGGAAAAAAGGGAAGAGATCGATGAAGCCATTGCTCACTACACCAACGCTCACCGCATAGTCATCGGGGTCATATCTACTCCTACGCCTTTTTTTTCATCAGTGACATGTTTTGGAAAAACTAGGGCCGGCAGCGATGAGGGTGTGAGCCACAGGGGCAGAGAATGTGGTGGATGGCGGCCGAAGGAATGGGTGGCTTCTCATCTGAAATATTGAGTTTTAGTGTTTTTTTTCACTTTTTTTGTTTTTTAATACGTTTTGTAAAATAAAATTCTATCGAGATTAAACCTTATTCATTTCATGACTCAAATCATGATTCAAGTTATATTGCTACAACGTTCTCTTACAAATATTCAAATTTAACTTTTTTGCTATAGTGTTTTCTCTCACATGTATAACTCAAGTCATGATTTGAGTTGTGCAAATGAATATTGCTCACTACACCAACGCTCACTACATACTCATCGGCGTCATTTCTACTTCGACGCCTTTTCTTTCATCAGGGACATGTTTTGGAAAAATAGGGCCGATAAGGACGGGGTGCAGGCCATAGGGGCAGAGAATGTGGTGGATGGAGGCCGAAGGAATGAGTGGCTTCTCATCTGAAATATTGAGTTTTAGGATTTTTTTTTGAATTTTTATTTTTTTATATTTTTTAATACGTTTTGTAAAATAAAATTCTATTGAAATTAAACCTTGTTCATTTCATGTCTCAAAAAGGGTACTCATAGTACTAAATTTTTTTTCTAAAATGTTAATGTACCATTTTAATATTATCAAAAACACTGGATATCAAGAACATGATTCGCTATAACACAAGATACTAAAATGATTTTATTCCTCTATTAAAAAAACAAGAAATGTTTTATGCATTCTATTTTAAGACACACAAAGGTGATATTTTAGGTATTTCTTGCAAAATACAAATTATTGAGGGTAGTTTCAATATTTTGAAAAGTTTGACTTATCAAACATATGGTAAAAAAATTTATTTTTGGACAAATTTCAAAAACGCAAGGGATAAATGTGATCTTTTGAAGAAACACCAAAGAAGTTTCAGGCCTTTGGATAAGATGGACAAAAATGGTATTTAAAATAAACAAAAGAGTGTTTAGAGTATTACGTTTTGTAATTTTTAAAGTGAAAATCTCAACTTTATTGTCCACGGTCCTTCCCCCTTGCTTGAGCAGTTGTCCCTTAGGGTGCGTTTGATTGGGTGGAAAGGAATAGAATGGAATGGAATCTGTCACAACCTGCCGCCAATTACCTACTATGCTAGGCCGGCGATGAATCGTGATGAAAAAACATGATGACACACATACATACATATCATATCATATTTGCGAATCCTTTTTTAACATACAAACATAGTCATAATAATGCGGAAATCATATCGCAATAAGGCTAACTCTCAAAAATTAATATCAAAGTTTGACCACTACGAGTCTTATTCCAATATGCACATTCACTTCGATTCGCTTCCCTGATCACTGAGCTTCTATCTTAACATTTTTCTTTCTTTTTTCTTGCAACACAAGGAATCCTAGTGAGCTAGGAAGCTCAGTAAGCGAGTAGACTAGCTACTGTAAATATAGATACAATGCAACACAATAATTTCTTAACAGTAAACATACATGAACATAAATGTAAACATAAACGATATTAATTTGAATACCTAATTCAAGTTTTCTCAATATACATAGTCAAATAATTCAAAATTTTTACCAACCGATAAGTAATCATAATATGACATACTTCGTAATAACTCCTAACATGTTTTATAGAGGAGTGTATTACACTTAAATATCCATAAACTCAGCGTATTAAAAATTCATGTTATTAGTTGACTATTACTTTGACTTTCATAACTCATATTCAAATGTATGAGAATTATAATCTTAACGTACCGTAATCATAATTATAATATATCATAAATCATAATCTTAATATACCATAATCATAAGTCTTAGTCTTAACATACCATAGCCATAATCATACCATATCATACATCATAATTTTAACATACCATTACCATAAGTATACCATATCATAAATCTTAATCAATTTCTGACCGTAACTGAAGCCTTCTCAAGTAGTCATGTACTCTTATACGCACAATTGTGCATAGGATTTAAACAAGAATAACACGTTGATAGTAGCTAAAATCTAAAACACATAAATACCCCTAATAATCTAGCATACCCATATTTACCTTCTTATTAGGGGTTTACAACAACCAAGAAGACATTAGAAAACAACACAATCACAATATTAATCACATGTTCCCATTTAACATGATCAAAATTAAATCTAATTAAGAGACGTACATACTTTAAATCAACATAGTCTTGTCATACTATAACCCTACCATGTTGTATCATACTCTCATATTCATAACATAACCTCATATCATACACTATTATGAATTAATCATTCTATAATAACTCATAGCATAATATTATTATATCATAACAATGCAAATAACTTATCACATACTTAATGGACTGGTATCCTAACGTGCACGTACTAATGGGCCCGTGGGACTGCCTTATGCCGGCTGATGCTTAGTCGTGTGGCTATCCTAGACTACATGCCAATGGGTTTAAGAAATCGTAGACACGGACCACACGTACCATTTAACAAATTAAACTCGGCTTCAAGGAGTGTACCACTAGTTATATGTGGCTTGCCTATCACACCAGAGTCGCAATCCATTAGCATTCACATAAGCGGTAACGTGGGTATTCACGGGGTTTTATCCATTTTTGCCAGGCCGAGGCTCATGGAATTCAACACCGTGACTAAATCACAGATCCAACGACCACTAGAGTCGCTGCATCTATAACCCGGGGCTACAGAGCATAAAGTCCATCTAATGGATTTAATTAAATCATAACTATCATATTAGGTCCTTTAACGGACTGGCAGTACCCACTAATATGTGAAACTAATCATATCATACGAATTGTCGCGGACTGATTCTCTATGAGCTATCGTTGTATAATGCACAAAAAAATGAAAGAAAAAGAGACCTATCGAAATCAAATAAAATATTAATACAGATTATTAAACTATGACATATTTACATTTCCCCTTAAATTTAATAAAATGCAATATGTGCTGCTTTAATTAATTTGTTTTGTGTTCCAATCCTCTTGTCCTTTGCAATTTCTCGTATATGATTCCAAATTGCAAATGTCCAAGTAGCAGATTTTTTTTTTTTGTTTTTAAATATATCAGGATAGCAAAGAAAGAAACAAGACTACAGCGCATAGAATCTATTTGTTAGCTAACCCTAACATTCATTAAGAGGAATTAGCAATTCATTCATAGGCAATAAGTTTTATCCAATGTTCATACTTAAATACCATGCTAACAAAATCATGCTCTATCTTGTCATGCTACTTCATATATCACACATGTTTCTTAGATGCTCACATAATCATATTAAGCATACTAGCTTTTTATTTTACCATGTCATTTGCATTCTTGTAGTTAACATAAAACATGCTTCCATTATTAATACTCATATCCACTCATATATTTTTCCTTAAGACATTACCATATATCCATTGTAGCTAATAATTGAGCATAAAACTTTCACAAGGAATTTGAATATTTCCATGTCATATTCATTGATCATGAAAAATCATAAGTGGCATGATAAACAATAAAAACAGTCCATGAGGCATAATGATAATCACCTTTCATAGTGTCATAAACAATCATGACATCTATACGTAGTAATTGCAAACAAAGTCACAAGTAAATTGCAAGCATCACTTATGTTACAGGTGAGTACTCTACTTACCTTAAGCATTCATATATCCCAAACGTAAGCTCCTTACACTTCGTTCTATTCACCCACAATGATTAGGTGCACCTGATTTTAGTAAATATTTCCAGTTAATTAGAGCGTTACAAATTCTTTTAAGAGTATTGCAAAACTCTTAAGTTGCTAACAAATTCCTAAGAATAGGAAACCATATTGTTTTCTCTTTCATATCTAAATCGGAGACTCGTAATTACAATCTCACCCATTGTTTCAAAAAACGTAGATCGAGGTTAAGGAAGACTCTTTAGAATTTAATAACCTTGTCCATAACTTAATAAAGCAAAATCAACTACTTAATTCATAATATAACTATAATTTTCTTAAAAGAAAATCCATCCAACCAAAAAAATTAATTTAACGTTCTTAATTTTTATAGATATTTTTTTTAAGAAAATTGACAGCACACCAACTCATAACGTGAGCTTTCATTATCATTCGATATTGTCAAAAGTATAATCTAG